GAATGGGATTATATGACATGATTATTTATGATAGCAGGGAATTGGATTCATTGACCCAGGATGCCTCCTCTAGTTCCACAGCATATGCTTGTACAAATCGCAGTTCTGTTCTCTGACTAGTAGATCACCTATTTCTGTGATTAGCTACTTCCTTTGCTGAGATATTATAAAACTTTGATTTTTGTTTCCAGCAGTGATGGAGTCAGAGAGTTAGGTTTTGTTCTGCTGACCCCCACACTTTTTTTCCCCTCTTTTTTTTTTTTAATGTGTGAGAGAAATTATGTTATGCTTCTGCATTTTCCAGTATTTTTGTCAGAAAAACAGATCAGGGTGAACGGAGGCAAAAAAGTACATGAAAGGTAGGTGGTAAACTTCCTGGGCAAGAATTATGTATGAGTAGGTATGAACAGGTAAAACAACCAGTTTTACGCCACTGTATTTCAAATATGAGCATTTCAAATATATACATGCATGTTACTTATTAATGTTGGTATAAACAGTATTAACAGTTACTTTGATTTAACATTAGTGTTTTATTTTTACAGACATATAGGACATTCAAATATAGAGATGTATTTCTCTGTTTTTTATTGGTTTTTATTGTAAGTTCCACTGGCTCCACAGGAGTGCCTTGCTCTCTCAGATCACCAAGCTGATTTTGTGAGTGACCTGATGCCTTGAAGTGCCACATTTGCTTAGGGTGACCTATTTGGCTCAAGTGACTGAGATGCATCTGCTCATCTTGGTTACTCACATTCCTTTCTTGATGAGCTGGATAGACAGGATTGTCTTTTCAAGAACATGCATTGCTGATAATTTGCTTAGAAGGGCATGTGTGTAAGTTTTGAAGAATTACCTCTATAGTCATTGGCTATGATGTTGCAAGAGCTTGTTAGACAAAAGAAAATGGTAAGCAACTGGTAAAGTGTCATACATAAAAAAATTCCTTAGTAGACAGAAAGCTTCTTTTTTCCTTTTATTTTGTTTTGAAAAATAAGTACATATATCTTTGTAGTACTCTAGCTGAGTGATTTGGGGAAGTGATAACAGAAAGAAAGGAAATTTTAGGAAGACGTAAATGCTAAATTTTTTATTCATCCACAGTGAGTTGTGAGGGCTGTTAGTCGGACAAAATGGTTCATCAGTCATAATGTTCAGAATTTCAGCTCTTCTCTGGTACTGAGCATGTGCTGGATCTCACTGGTATTGTCAGGCATGCTAAGCAAATATTAAGGAGTGTGAGAGCAGCAATGCAGAAAAATTCAAACTAGTGTTGCATTATGCCCTGTCAGTCACGGTGAATGTGGCCTGACACAGCATGGTATTTGTGCCCAGATGGTCTCAAGGGCTTAAAATTCTTAAAAGGAAAGTTTCTTGTGAGCTAGGTTATTAAGAGTTTCATCTGAATAAGGAATGAAGGTTGTGGCCCTTTAGAAACACAGTGTCCCAAGAGATTCCTATGTCTTTGTCAATTTAAAATGATGGCAAGCAGTGGCATCATATTTATTGTATAGCAGTATTTATATTAATAGCCACCACATAACAGCTGAAAAACATTCCTTTTCTATCTGGGCATGTCGCCTCAGTACATTAGCAAGGGTTCAAGAACAGAAGATGACAGGCTTTCATAGAGAATCATGCTGTTAAAATAACATTCTCTCCTGTGCCATAGCTTCTGGCACTGGAACCCACCATCCTGCTGTAAATTGCTGACATCAGTGTAGTACAGCATTAATATTATAACTTTAACCCTTTTGAAACCATTTCTCTGGGTAAGTCTCTATCATATTTAGAAGGAAGACAAGAAAATTTCACAGGAAAACGTACACATATACATACATACACCCATAGAGTGTATTTCTTATTGACAAATTTTAGAAAACAGACTTAAGATTTTCTTTAGAACTCTCACTGCTTTTTCAAAATTATGGCATTAACGATGATGGCTCTTTAATTTATAAGTGAAAGAAAAATGAGATTCTGTATATTTAAAATGTCATCCTTCAGAAATTCCTGATAAACTCTGTCAACATCGACGTATTAATTTCAATAATAGAAGAGTGAGAAAGAGGGAAGAGGGGAAGAGAAGCACTCAGCTGTTCCAATGGCGTTCTTGTTTTGTTTTGGTGACTGTAACTCCTTTCAATATATCAATCATAGATCACAGTTCTTCTCTGTTTAATGCTATGCAACTTTTAGATTACATCTGTTACTGTGAAACATGGTCTTTGTGATTTCTTTGTAGACATTTTGCTCTGATGATTCTTTATTCATAAAGAAATAATCTAACTATAGCTATGACTGAATGCAAAATAAGAAGACAAAATGGACACCCAAGTTAACCAAGGCTTCTTGATCTGCAAGAGGGAAAAAGCATTTGCAGTGCCAATTTACAAGTGGTAGATAAATTTCTGAACTTCACTACAGAGAAACTGAGGTAGAAATAAAATGTGATTAGTTATTTGAATAAGTGCAGGAGGGTTTTGAACATTTTTGGAAGCAGGCATCACACAAATGCTGACCAATTCACACAAATGTTAACCAAATCTGAGTTTCTTAGCAGAATCACAGTGCAAATTACAATTTGGAGAAGTCTCTTATATTTTAAATTAATACCTGAATTTAATTCTTCCTGATCAACTCCTTAAGAAGTTGGTCTTTTCCTAGGACACATGATAGATGAAATCTTTATTCATTTTACCTGCCCTGCATAAGGACTCTGTTCTGCAGCAACACTCTTGCAGGTGTAAGAAATAATTTCTCACACTGCATACTAGAGACTCCCAGATACACTGGGTCAGACTGCTTTAAATTCAACTTATTTTCTGCCTTTCAAATAGCTATTTAATTTTAAATATATATATCTTTGCAACCTCTCATGGCATGAAAATGAAACCTCCTGGCATTTGTTTGTCTGTTGTTAAATAAAAGGTGATAACATAGTAAAAAAGTTTATTAGATTTTCTGCTCCTGTGATGATCTTCACTGGCAGAAATTTGTTATACAGAGTTTGGGCCGAAAGTATTCTTGGTATAATTCCTTTAAATCTAGCTGTCTGTTTCCATCAAATTCTACTCATTTTTAGGGGGTCTGAATTGATGTGGGATTTACCTTACAAGATGTGGGATAAGAGAACAGAAGTTGTTAAAAGGTATCACAGCTTAGATTGCCAAAATTGACATATTCATCCCTGAATGTGTCTCATTTTTTTCCAGTGCCCTTACAGGGTGTAGAGACATAGGAAACCTGAAAGAATGAACTTTCATGCTACAAAATTGTGTTAAATATACAGCCCGCTATAACAAGAGCTCATCTGGTTTAAAGTATTATTTTGAGGTTTTTTGCTTGAAAAAGCATAAAGTTGTTCACATATCTTCTTCCTTGTTGCCTTTGCTGAAGCAAGGACAGATAAATTTCTTCCCATTAAGTTAATTACCCACTAATAAAACAATACACAAACACAAAGTATCACTTTGGTTCATCCCTGGAAAATAATACCATATCTTCCAACCTGCACCATCATGGAGTCATGTGCTACCATTTCTGGAGGTGATGATAGGCTAGTGAGCTTCCTAAGCTTCTTGGACTTTTGTCACTCTTCTTTACACCAGCTCTATTTTTACTTCTTCAGGACTCTGAATCCAGCAACGCCATTCCTCTGGAAACAATGAATTTCTGCAGTGGTTTTGCTGTCCCATGTTGCAATTCCTGTTAGTGTTTTATTTCTGCTGATTTTTTTTTTTGCTATTTCTTAGGTCTTATTCCACCATCTTTTTAGTTCTTGACTAAATTATTAAGTATAGGTTTCTTCTGCAGGGCTTGGGGATTTAGCTAAAGGATCTCATTAATGTTAATGGAGGTCATATATAAATCTATGTTCAGCATAGAGAAATTTTTCCCTTCATTTTTTTGGTGAAGGGTGATATGAGTGTGATCAATTTTTCTTTGATACCATATTAAGAAGGTTAAGAATAAAGGCATTTAAATGACTTCTTATTTTGATACAGAAACTAGAAAATATACTAATATACTAACATGCCTATATATTGTATTGTATTTTCCCATCTTGTCATTTCAGTGAGTAGAAAAGATTTAGTTTCAACTTATTCAATTATTAATTGTTGTAGTGCCAGTTTATCAGACTGAAAATCTCAAACAATGAGTGTCTCTATTCAAAGAAGAAGTACAGCAGAGGTGCTATGGAACTATGAGCCACTCTTTCATCCTCCTTTCACACATACACATAATCTGATTCTGTCCCTCATCTTATCTCAGAGGGACCTTCTAGGGAATAACTGGATAGTTTCATCTCCTTCACTATTTGGGGATTTTTGGTGTCACAAGGGCACAGTTACTCCAAATGGGTGTTGTGGTTTTGGCTGTAACCAGTGGTAGCTGCAGTGGAATTTGATTCCTTATTTCACACAGAACTGCCATCAGCTGGTAACAGTTGTCAGGTCCAGTTAAGATTAATTTGAAATAACATGCCAAAATTTGAGGGATTTTGTAGTCTATTTTCAAAGTTTTCAACCAAATATTTCCTCATATATTAATCTAATACCATGTTTACAATCTGTGCTCTTTTCTGGACACTCTTTCCAATCTAAATTTTAATAGGCTGAAGCTAGGAACAGGTCATGCAGAAACTCTTATAGATCTGTCTGACTTTGATGTGGAAGCTAGGGCTAATTGCATTTGACCCTTACTGCTTTGGGGTGAATCTAAACTATCCTAGCTCTAAATCCTGATTATTTTCTATTTGTACCTCATAAAACCCATGTGAAAATGAGAACTATGTTGAATTTTATAATTTTAAAGTATTTTTTTTTCCTCTAGTAGTAATAACAAATAGAACTCTTGATATTTTCCAAAGCATCTTACCTCACCTTTAATAATTTTTTTCCAGATTTACCAGATACTTAAAGCTACTGGTAACTATGACACCTGAACTAGGCAATGTGAATATGACCATGGCACTTTTTTTTTTTTTTTTTTTTCAGAATATATGCCCAGAATATATATTAATCCACATCTGTGTAAATCCAGATCCACCTTTACTACTTTCCTGAATCCAAGGAGCCAGGGTGGTTGGTGGGAACTTGGCCAAGCAGAGGTGCAGTGGTTGATTATCTGTTCTCTCTGTGAAAAATTGTGAGGCTGATTGAAATCAACGCTCAGAGTTCACCGGTCCCAGATCTGTAGTAGGAGGATACTGGTTTGCATCAACACTGGAAATATCAGCCATGTGTAGATAGTGCTCAAATCCAAATTGCAATTAAAAATTTAATTATAGCAATGCAGTACAAAGCTTTTTAATGTCATTGATTCAGAATTTTTCACCAGAAAATATGCACTGATGAAAAGTACATACCAATCAAGCGCTAAACATCTAAAATCCTATTAGAAATCTTGTGGTTGCTCAAAATCTTCAAAATACAGCTATTCACTTTTCTGCTTCAGCTTGTTCTATAGTATTTATCTAGCCTACAGAAGCATTTGGTGAATTGTTCATCTTTACAACATGCTTTTAACTGTAAAAGGGCATGTAAATCAAGTGTCCCTGTTATGCATGCATTGCTAACAGCTCTTAGTCTGAAAAACTTCCTGATCTCACTCAGAGCTTGCCTGCCATACCTCTAAGCCTCATTAATTTTTGACAGTTCTTCATGGGTTAAGATGTTATTTTCTTTGTGTAAACATGGTGTCTAAATGGTAGGTAAAATAATTTGCCATTTAGAAAATGCTCACATGTGAACATTATTAGGATAATATACTTGAAAATGGGGAACGTTATTAAAATATTGAAATAAGTATTTGAATGTAGTCCTAGAATTAGTTATATCTGTATTTTAAATCAATATAACTACAAAATTTGATTTTTCATGTCTGGTATTCCCATCTGGGTTTTGACTCAATAATTATAGCAGTAGCTAATTGCAAATTCTATATTTAAGTTGCCTAGGAATTTCTTTACAAAGGATAACAGTGAGCTCTTTTTTCAGAAACTTCCATATCTGTCTTATTTACTGCAGAAATCTGATAGTAGTTAAGAGAAAACCCTGTGATTTTTTTTTTCCAAACAATTCAATTTCTGATTTGGTTGTAATACAAAACTTTAAACATTGTAATTTCTCTTCTCTTTTTTTATATCTTCAGTAGGTGCACACCTTCTCTAATCTGTCTGAAGCTGCTGGTATTTTTTTTTGAGAAAATGCTTCACTTTTGACAGTGGTTATAGTAGTTGAGGTGGGGGTGAAGGCCAGAGCCTCCACATGTACACACACTTTCCTCCCTGTTAATCCAAGAAGAGGCAGGTGTGCAGAGCACCCATCACTGACACTGGGGAAACACTGCAGCCCTCCCCATGAACTCCACCATCTCACATATGTCCACATGCTGGTCTGCTCACTCTGTCAGTGAAGCAAGTGAGGTAGGAGCTCCTGTGTGGCTCTAACAATGCCTCAATGATTTTTCATGAGCATATTGTTTCCTCTGTGGAGGTATGTTGTGAACTTGTCTGGCAGTGCAGACTTTCTCTGACAGAGAAAAATCAAATGCCTCTAAATTTTGCAAGTACCAGAGTTACTTTAAAGTGACAGGTCAGGCGTTGTAGTAGAGCAGAGATATCAGAGCCTAAGTCATGTGAGGTCCAGGGATTTACAAAGCCTTTGTGACAGCATTATGTTCAGTAGAGGTGTGAGGATTGATTCTGCATTGGTATTGTTAGTCTTGGTAGAAAAGTACCAGAAGGAACTTTGCAACCATTCACATTGGTTGTTTTGCCTATTATTATAAGCTGCAGGCTAGAAAATTTGTTTTAAAGCTCAGTTTAAGATGAAAAGTTAAAACAGTTCTAGCAACATAAGTAATATGGGGTTCACAAGTAAGAGCAACTTCTTACTTGTGAATTTATTAAAAGAAACTCCCCACATGTTCCCCTGAGTGAGCATAGGAAATAGAATACTACTCACACTAGGAAGGAAAATAATGCCTTCTGTCCAAATATAAGTGGAGTGAGAAAATGCGTTAAAACCCAAACCTGACAATAGATTTAACTTGAAAGCATTTTTTTTCATCCTTGTTGAGTGTGCACTTAAGAGACTGTGCTGCTCCAAGGAACACAGAAGAGTGCTAAGGAATGGATATTTCTTCTCTCCTTCACAACTGTTGTCCAGCAGTTAATAGCAGAAAATGTCCCAAATTTTTCATTTGAATTTTTCATCTCAACAGAAGGGCAAATATATACAATAGGAGACCCTTTGAACCCTTTGAACCAAATATAATGCAATCCAAGAGATTTAATGTTTTCAAACCCGTGTAGGTAATAACATACTGGATAATCAAAATTCTTATCACAAGTTTATCCTGTTTTTCTGTAGAATTTGACTGTTCTTTTTTGAGACCTTATTGATGTACAATTTGTTTTCTAAGTTTTATGCATTTTTGCATGGGTCCTAATTATAGAAGGGAAATCCACCTGAAGATATTTCACTTGTAACCAAAAAAGATGTCTCATGACATGCTGCTCTTTCCATACTTTCTGAGTCTTTCCCTACTTTTTCATTTCTGATTCCCAAACTCACCATCTGCAATACTTTTCCAGTAAATTATCACTTAACAATGTTTAATTGTTAATTTAGTGATGTTTTTGTTCAACTCATTGCAAGCAAATATATTTATGTGGTGCTTACTTCCAGGTATCCAGTGCTCCTTTGACACCTAGTCTCCCCAAACTTCAGCATTTAATTTTAAAGAAACATTGAAACACATGTTTTATTAAAATCAGTATGTCAAGCGAGCACATTTGGCCTTCAGCAGGGAAGTGTCTGCTAGATACTATTGTACTTACAGAAGAAATTGAGTCAGACCAAGTGTAATGAACTGGCCTAGTTGAATGTCAGGGATTTTATAGGTTTTCCAATGTTCATTTCTTCTTGATTATGTGTTTGCTGGTCTTCATTCGATCTGGAGCATCATTACCTAATGTTTCTACTATATTTGAGGGGTGAAAAGTAATTTAGCACAGAAGTACATTTACTTTGTTAAATGCTCTTGCTATCTCCTATGGGTAGAGCCTGGATGTCCTTAAACCCATTTATTTAGCAGAGACCTCTTTCAAGAAAGATGGATTTATTTCTGTGCTTTTTTCATTGATGCTGTTTTGGAAAGATATCAGCACACTAAAGGAAACAAAATGTTCAGCTCACAAATCTAAGGGGAGCTTGGAGCTGCTGAGAAAAAATTACTTTTCTATTTAAGGAGGATAAAAAAGCCCATTAGAAACTCTGTTTTGAAAAATTAAGAATAAAAGAAGTATTCACTTTCCAACCAAATACAGTTCTTTCAGAAATCCAAATGCCATTTAGTTTATGTAAGTCACGGGAGGGAGAGAATATCAGTCAGAAGCCCGTCCACGCTTGCTGAAATCCACAGAAACCTCCTGGAGTGGATTGTGCTTCACATTGGGGAGTGCAGAGATGAGGGAGGAAGAATGTAGAACAAATGTGCAGCAGAGAAAGAGGGAATGAAAAGGTGTAAATACAGACGTGTGTGTGAACTTAGGTCATTGTTACAGAATAGCGGAAAGAACATCCAGTACAGGGTTCCAATTGGGTTCTTCCTTGGCATCACACTGGTACCAATGAGAGCTTCATCAGGGTGAAGGAAGTGGAGGGGACATTGATTTTTTTAGAAGGATATGTGTAAAAGTAAAATGCAACAATGCCTGGAATGAGTTAAAGTTTTGGCTGACGTTAATTAGTGAGACTGCTGTTAATACACGGTGGTGTTTTTATCTCTGCTTCCAATTAAATCAAACCATGGCAGTGAGATTTTACATGGTGCAGGATGGTGCACTGCATCACCAGATGAAACTTTAGGATAAATTTTCATTTTGAAAAGTGAATTACACCCTTAAATATCCCATGAAACTGATAGAGCCCATTATCTTGTTTATTATTCAGGTCTTTAAAAAATCCCTTGATGCAGCAATAATTGCTTTCCTGAATCAACGGAATTTATGTAAAACAAAGTTTCAGCTGCTTTCTTGAAAATATTTCTTTCAAGCCTATTACACTAAATGTTGTTCAGAATAGTCCCAAGAAACTTGGAGAAAATTGCCTTTTTGCTATTTTTCCCTAACACACTGAAACTAGTCACTTGTAGTTTTATGTCCATGTCATTCCACAAAGTATTAACTGTGTTTTTCTACTGAGCTGCCATTGTTAGCAGTATAAGTCTTGCATAAGCTGCACAGCTACATATCTTGAATTATAAAGTGGGATGGAGAGACCAAGATATTGGCATTCTATGCAGTCAACAGAATATAGCACTATAAGTGATGATATTTGGACCAGCCCTCCAGGCTCATTGACTTCAGTAATTCTTTCTGTTCATGGGCATAAAAATTCTCTCAAGGTCACACCCAAGGTTAAATCATGGGAACTTCAAAATGGGAAACTTTAAAAAATACTTCTGAAAATAAAACAAAGGCCCTACTGAAACTAATGGGAAATTTTCCATTGACTTCAAAGGCAGTAGAATAGAATCAGAGCCATGAATCTTCACACATGGGAAAGGAATCCATGACTATGATTCTGTAGTAGCTTCTCAAAATTATACATTTCCTATGGACCATCTTCTTTTACCAATTTTAATAATTTCTGGCTTCTCTTTAAATAAAGAATGTAGTCTTGCAACCTAGTGCAAATAAACCCATTTCAAAAATAGAAAATATGAGAAATAGAGCATATAGAACTTGAATATTCAAAATTAAACAATAAAATATCTCACAGTAAAGCCTTTTTAACACTCTACTAAAAACATCAATATTAATTTTGTTGAGAAAGCATACAGATGACAGATGTTATGATGACATATTAGCGCATGACATTGGGAAGAAAGTTACAATGGAGAGTGCATGGTTTGGTTTGGTTTTTTTCTTTTTTTTCTGTTGTTTTTTGGTTTGGTTTGGGGTTTTTTTTTGTTTTTTTAAGAGAGAAAGAACATTCACATTCTCAAACTTCATTACCACATTCTGGCATCTGTTTTAAAAAATAAATATTTATCCACAAATCTTAGATACATTTAGAAATATACCCGAAAACAAAAGAA